CCGGAGCGTTCCAGCGCATATAATGTCTCACAGTGCTGAACCTGGCCCTTCTACGCACCACCGACATTCGCATATTCATAGCGCTCCCATGCCACTTCCCACACCACCAACACCTGTTTATGAGCTTGCAAGGCAGCCGTCAGCGAACGGACATCAGGTCCCACCTCCACCGCCTTGGTCCCGTCCACAGTCACCGCACTTGAACAAGAAGCGCAAGTATACGGATGACACTCCACAAGACAACCCAGAGCCGAGATCACCCAAGCAACGGCGCCTTCCTCAAACCCCTGTTCTCCCGCCTGCCAACGCAGCAACTCGTACGATACAGCAGGCGCTTTCGCCTTCGCTGGCCATGATTGTATCACCAGTTGACACCGAACCTTCCCCTCGGCGACCGCCTTCGATACCTCCCCCTTATGCTAGACCACCTTCCTCCCCGTCTCTTAACACAATGAATGGAGAATGCTCTTCTGTGAAGTCAGTAAAATTGTTGGTTGGAAATCACAAGTAGTGTATTCGTTCATGCGTTTTGGTTTGTTCTGATAGGTCTATTGTACTTGTTATTTGTTGACCGTAGTTGCAATTGTCCCCACTACCCTGGCATGCTTTTTATGGAGTGTTGATGTACGTGAATATTAGATATATGAATGGGAAAAGAAGCAACATTGCGAATGGGAAATTGAGGACGATCCTCGAGTTCTCCCGCGAACTCGATGGAAGTCTAGGCGCAAATCACGATGACGAGATCGGAAATAAAAGATCACAAATGATGATAGCGAACCAGAAAGGCAAAAGCTTAGACACAGACAGAATTAAAACAAAACGATCAACCCCCAATGCGTTTATCGTTTAACCATGAGTTTATATGTGGTGTACCCGCCAATGATGCCGAAGGCTGCAAGTGCGGCAAGGATCCCAGCAAACCAGTGGTAGGTGACCTGAAAAACAGAATAAATAGTAGCGGTGCGCAAATGGTAGCCAACATACAGTATCATCTTGGCCTGGAACGTGTACATTCATACCCCACATACCTGGATGAGTCATGAGGACACAAATTATCGACAGTGAAGAGAAGGCACTAACCCGTTACCAAGTTCATAGGGATGAGGACCGTACCCAATGCCGTCAACTTCGAGAGGACATCGTTGATCTGGTTATTAGCATCTGTCATCTCGATAGAAATTTGCGCCAAGTAGTTGGAGTGCGAGCGGGACAGGATTTTTTCGTAGTGATTTAGATTTTGCGTCATGGTTATCAAGTGGTCCTAACAATTCATTGGAATCAATCAGTGGTAGATTCAGCGTTGGCAGCAACTAACCTGAATGTCGGAAAGATATAGACCCTTTTATAAAGAATGAGTCGTGGCACGGATGACCAGTACCGAATAACTCACGATGTCTGACGTTGGTGCCACCCTCCAGTTTTCATTGCATCTCTTCGCGAGCCCCTTGACTACATCCGCTTTATTACCCATCAAGCGCAGTAGTCCCATGACCTTCTTGCGACATGTTCCGATTCTTCTCAACATGTCACTTTGCTCTGCCTCCTTCAAAATAAGGACGAGCTCGTCAATAGAGTCGACTTCGTATTCAATGGACTGGATTAGAGGTCCGAAGGCATCGGTGATGTCATCGATCAACGCATACGAGATCCAGTCTGATGTGACATTAATGTAATCTTTGAGCTGCTTTATTCTTCGGCGGACATTTTGTGGATGTGGGGTGGGGCGGAAGTGGAACTAGAAGGATTATAAATGAAACAATATAGGAAAACAAATGGAGCACTTACAGATAAAGTTCCCTCTCTAAACACAATGATGTACATGTTTAGGGGCTCCAGGTGCATGGGGCTGTAAGGATCCTGATCGAAGCTACGGAAACAGACAAGATAGTAGTTCCGGAACAATTCAATCTTTTCACGAGCTTCCTCCATTTGGATGTCTTCAACAGTCAAAGGGTGGATAGAGAAGACCTAAGGCAACGCTTAAGTTCTGAAAACCAACTGTTTGCATAGGCAGTACCTTGCTCAAAACCTTCATCTCTTCATCTGTCGGGCTTAGGACATCTAGCCACCATGTATTCCCCTCAAGTTCGCCACTATCCCTGAGGCTATTTGGTGGGCCTGGATTAGCAGCACTGCCCTTCTCCGGACGACCATTGTGGCTGGGAGTTGCAAAATCTAGCGGGCGCCTGTTCGTGTCCTGGACAGAACCTGCCCCTTGGTGTGGAGGCACGGGAACGGGTGCAGAACCACCCTTCGCGTCTCGCGGGCAGTCGGGAGGAGCCAGGCCAGTAAACAAATCTTCAAAGGACTGCCCGTCCGCAGGAAGTTCACTGAGGCTTCGTGCGTGAATAGTTGCAGACAACGCATTGGAGTAAAACGAGAATCGGTATGGTCTGTCATGACCGGGTGTCATGATCCCACCCATCCCAGCAGCATTGTACTGGTTTGCTGACACATTATCTGGGGATGGGATGGCGCTTAAATGCCCATGTCCCATGAGCCGGCTTGGAAGAGTGAAGTTTGGGTCCCCGCCATGGTTCTCAAATAAGGCCATTTTGCCCCGGGTGCTTTTCCGGCTGTGTCTAGGGACTGGACTGCTCTGGCTGAGCTTGCGCTGTCGAATATTACCGTGATAAGAAGAGTCAAATGCAGCGTCAAGTGGAGGAATTCCTCCAGGTGGAGATGTGGCCGATTCTGGACCCCCGCTCTGGGCAAAGCTTGGGTGGCGCAGCCGAAATGCTGGGCCATGGGTATCCGTAGGTGATGATATGCCTAGCTCAGTCTTTTCTTGAGCCGCAAAGGCCTCCAGATGAGCAAAGGTGAAAGCGGAGCGGGATGCATTCGCTTGATACACGGGAAGGCCCGGCATGGAAGCGAGAGCTTCATCGCGAATCGGTCGATACTCACTCCCCATAGTCGTAAGAAGTGCTGGGTCGTGGGTTTGGTCGAGGTGCTGCATCCGCAAGTCAATAGGAGTTGGTGATTGTGGCGAGTGCAGCCCGTCGTTCACACCATTATGATCGAGGTGGCTAATTCTGTCCCCACGAGCAATATCAATGTCGTGTTCCTCAATGACTGAGAAATGGGAGAATGGGGGCACTGCTTCAGGGTGAGGAGTCGATTCGTATTGTAATGATGTCGGAGGCGTCGTTATAGTCTCCCTCCGGGCCCTGGACAAATGCAGAGCCATGTCGACATCTAGCGTTCTCTGCCTCTCCCTCATTTCTGGGTCATTCATATCATAAGAGCAGATAAGCGTTGGAGAGATGTGTGGTCGGGACCCAGATTCCACCACGTCGGTTTGACATGACAAGCTTTCTCTATTGTCCCTTCGTCGAACGGGAGAAGCGCCTCTGATTGAAGTAGGCGAGGTCGAGAGCACGGGCGCATCATGAAAAGTCGGAGAAGTCATGGGGTCAACCTACGAGTCTGGTCAGCGAACCATGCAAATTTGTAGAACTCTAAATGCTGAGAACCGCACCAGATTCGAAAAAGGTTTAGTCAGATAGCTCGCCGAACTGATAACCTGTCTTAGGGTGCTTAACACATTATTAGCCTTGAAGCTTGAAGCTTGAAGGACAAGCTAATTTCCACTCCAGCAACTCGGAGCTGAATCAGCTAATCACGATTAATAGGCTTACTTAAGCACTACCCTTTAGGACTGTCAATTTTCCAGTCCGTCCAGTCTCTGCAAGACGCCAAATTCCCGGTCACCCGGTACGAAAACGGCCGACTCTCGGTGAGTGGGTTTTACTAGTAGGGTGTGGACGTACTGAGGGCCGGATCCGGGATCTGAAATTTCCTATCCCCCCCACTATTGTTTTTATAGTTGCCTTGAGCAGCTGGCCAGTCACCGAACGCGGTTGCCGTCGCGCATCGGAACTTACACCCACTAGGTGTATAGGCTCAGCAGTATCATTCCTGAACAGAACGAGATGGTTAGCGCGGTCGGGGTAGCTATGATAGCCCCTGACGAGAACTTGAAACCGCTGCCATCCCCCCACCTAGCGTCCCTCTTGCCCAGCTAACAGACCCTTATCCTATGAGACGGGTGACTGCAGCGGGTGGTAAGGACGTGATCTGCCTCGCGATGCTCTGCTGGACGCTTCTAGCTTGGGCTTCGCTTCCAAGCAGTTCGCTATAACTGGCTCATGATGGGCCATGTGTCCGCATGGGATTCGTGCCGTTCTCCGCAAGATTTCGGCGTTTTACTGCCTCAAACTTCGCTAAAAAATTGGCGACCCCAACTCCATTCGGCTTTTCAGCGGCAGCCACAATTTCACGACAACCGCTCTGGCAACGTGTTCGCGTCACTGCCGCTCATCGTGGTAGTTCTTCCTGCTCATCCTGACTGCTACATACACTTCTTGTAGTCAAAGCTTCATGAACACAATATTTCGCTACATTTCAGGATTGCAAGTCTCGGAGTCAATGTTCCACACTTGAAGGTCAGTGACGCTATTTGGCAAGAGCCTCTGATCCAAACTTGGCCAAATAAATCCCTGCCCTACCATAATATGCCAAGTACCTGTTCTTCCTAGAATCATATCAGGTCTTTAACAGAGAATAAACAACAAACGCGTGCCCGCATAGAGGACGAAGCCCTTCTGACCTTGGTCCATGTAACTTCGGAAGTTAAGGGGACACGATATGAAAAGCCCTGTACCAACGTATCTATTGAGATATTAATAAACATGAATTTCTAGCAATCGCGCCATGTCGTCGACATCGTGATTGAATATTGATATATCAAGGGTTTCAGGGCAGGAAGACTGAAGTAGTCAATCAGGAATCATGAAATTCACTGTCATTCCTGGTTGTCTTGGTCTACGTTGCTCCACGAAACACTTTTCTGAGAATGGACACTACCAGCGAAAAATTCAGACGGTTGCCCAATCGATAGGATTGGTAATTCTTGATTCTCGTGTTGATCCGAGGCCTAATGAAAATCAAATCAGACAAAAGGTTATAATGTAAATTGACTAAGAATAAAAAGAAACCCCTGGCGGGACTCGAACCCGCAACCTCCAGATACACTTCAGTAGTAGAAGTCTGACGTCATAACCATTAGACAACAAGGGCTTGTGTGGCAAAGCGTTAAAGGATGTCCATCATCCTGAGCCTGTCTTGGACCAATGAACTATGTAGTCAAACAACCTTGGGCTTGTGCGGCAAGCATCAAAGGACGTCCATCATCCTCAGTAGCTAGCTCAAGTCGCGCGTTCCCGACAAAGACCTCTTGCACTGGTCATAAATAACAGTCAGATTGTAATAGATTCACTTGAAGTGTGTTACCAATGGTTCTGAAGACCTCCACGAACAAATCAGATTGACCTTGACGGAGGAAAATGGCCGAAAAGGCATGTGTTGTTAAACAACATACTTGGAAAATTTGTATTATTCGGGGCATTTGGACCAGTGAGTCATGATAGCAATAGCATAGCAGCACGACGACGAGAAGTATGCCAAATGGAAGAATGAAGATTGAATTCAATTACTTACACCTATGAGGATACCATGCGCTTGCGAAACGGTCGTTTCCGCAATTCTTCGGCCACGTAAACGTGGACCCGTGACGGCAAAGACCTCGAGTGTTTAAACTCTCACATAAACAGTACAGAGCTATGTAGGGAGTGCCACGTAGCATAGTGCTACGTAGTGCGTGGGGTCAATCCTAATTACTTCGTCATCAACAGTAAGTTCCCCGGATTCCTGCATGATGGTAAAAAATCAGATGTGTCGTACCAAACCCGGCACCCAGTTTACCTCGTGCTCATAATGATCCCATGTTGCTGGGTATAAAATGGATCAGCAAGGTTCTCTTTTCCCAACCCACATTCCTCAAACGCTCAGCGTGCTCCACACTTTTGTCCCCTTGCACGCATACGTTCACCATGGAAAGCCGGGCCGTTTATAACGTATGATCATCTTCGTTGTTTGTTTCGATTGCGAGGGTTGAACAGGAGATCACTAGGTGTCTCGTCGCAAAGTGTACACTCCATCATATGTATATGATGGCGCCTCGCAGCTATCATCCGTCTCATCCGATACTTTCGGGAGTTCAGACGAACACGCTGGATGCTGGTCGTGGTGGAGTGGTCTTTGGCGTTGCTTCAGGTGCTGGTGACAGTCTGGTCAGTAGCATGTCATAATATTGTTTGCACTGAGCTAATCATACCATACCTCTAGGTGAAGATATACCCTCTCATAATTAAGTTAGAGCGGCTTGCATCCAGCGGGGATCTGGGTGGCATAGACGGCCAACACATTATGGAGCATTCGCAATCGGTCCCGTAGCCACACCTTGAAAGAAGGAAAACGGCGTTCCTTCATTTGCAAGAGTCGTTCTGCACCAATAGCAGAGTGAAGACCTATATATAGAATCAGCCAGTAGTAAAGCACGTACCACCATTTTGTACGTTAATACCAACTAGGATCCTTCTGCTCGCCCAGCGTAGTTGCAAACCTTATCCTGGATTGACCATCTGCGACTGCTTCCGTTGCGCCAGCTAAATAAAAGCACCGCTAGTGTGGATAGTCGCTCAGTACAATTATTGTTCGGCAGTCAAATTTCTATGTAAGCAAGTCATTGATTAAGAATGCATGCTGCAAAGGGGTGTTGAGCATACGTTCTGAGGAAATTCCCAGAGTCTAGTCGTGCCCCGAATTCTGCCGAAAAGGTTAGGATATGGAAACAAAATTCATGAGCTACAAATACAATGCAGATGGTTCTACCACTTATCACTGGTGCATTAGGGTTCATCTTTTGCTAGTATCACTGTCTCTACTTTTGTCCTCAAACCCCTCCAACCTGTCCTCGCCCCTGTCTGCTGAGATTCCGTAACAGGTAATTCTGTCAGCACCTTCGCAATGAAGTTCGCGTCCGTCAGAGGAGTCAAATCATTGCGACTGGGAAGTCGCTGGGGTTGTCGGTTATCAAGGGACGAGGTTACATAAGAGGAAGCACTAGACGCACCCTCTTAACGCCATCATATGGTGCCTCCCAACCGCTCAATTGACGTACGACTAACGAAGGTCTTGAGGCGAAAGAATGATATATCCTCGTGTCGTGTGTGCGGAAGAGCACATTATCCACACGAAGAGTGAATCGCGACAAAATGAATATACATGTGGGCATGACGCGCTTCAATCCGGGCTAGTCAGACAACAGAAAATCATAGGGTAGCAGCACGAACTATTCGCACGAGAAGGTTGGATGATCCATTATCGTGTAGTTCATCCTCAAAAAGAGGGATTTCCGCATAGAATAATATTGGATCTGGTCGCGTGAGCTCAGAGAGCGGAATAGAATGAGATGGATTGTCCTCGTTGGCATCCGTCCACTGTATTGAAGGACTCGGCGATTGGATGTCTGGTGCAGAATCAGAGTGATGGCCAGGATAAGTCATGGTGTAAGTCCAGTCATAATGCTTGGCTGCGACTGTAACAGGCAACGGAAGGTTTGTTCCAGGGTCTGTGCTGGTGAGTACGCTCAGAATCACATTGATACATATACAGCATGAATTCCTCACCGGCTCTTAAGCCAGGCATCCGCGTAGCCAACCTTGACCCCACCATCGCCCTCCCCAAGCTCACCCTTTTTCACACACTTGAGGGCATTATGAGTGTCAAACATCATCTTCCACCCGGATGACTGATGTTCGAGAGATAGATAGTTACTTCCAAACGTCATCTCAGGTAATGGGAATCCTAGCGAAGCTTGCAACGCGTCGCACTCCGACGCGCTAGATATCGGGTTGGTGGACGCGATTATCACCCAATCATTGATTTCGATTGTACGTGAGTTGGGAGTCTCTGATAGCTTGTGTTGTGGTACTGCGACTGCTGAGGACATGACTTCAGCAAGAAAGTAGTCCTTTGATATGATCTCCTGGTAAGTAACCGTTGTCGCCGTCGTGGCCGTCGTCGTCGAAGGTGATCAACTTGAAGTTATTGATCGGAGTTTCAAAAGTATAAGTGTAGGTACTTGAAGTACTCGAACTCGCCTAGAAGTACAACGGAGATCATGGAGGGATCTCGTCCAGCGACACCGGAAGCACCTCCAGAAAACCTATGGTCGTCAATATTGGACTCAGTTTCCTCTTCACGGTCAATCCCTTCAAAGCAAGTTCTGCTTCTAGGTCCTTCTTCGTCTGGCAAGTCCGTGCTTGCTTCAGCCTTGCTACAGAAACCAGTTGCTGAGGAGAGCAAAGACGAGACACGGTCAGATTTCGCTCTTGGATATGATTGGGCTGATATAAGAGATGACGGCGACGAGGGTGTGCTTCCAAAAATTTATGTATATGAAACGTGCTAATGCCGCGACCAGACACTTTGGCGCGTCTATCAGTGTACACAGTGCCTTCAGATGCAATAGCTTATACTTCTTTGATACCACACTTTCTGCCTCCTCGGGTATCACTGCCTCACACCCTTGTAATGATTGTTTTGGATTGGACGCGCCCTTGGACATTTGTAGACAATCTTCAGACTTGGCTCAAGTGGGTAGAGATGTGGGCGAAGGGTGATGGATCTCGGGATCTCGACATCGTTCGCGAAGAGAATCATGAAAGACGTATGCTCATTTGATCGAGACAATCCTGATAGCTGACATTATCCCACAGTGCAACATCATTTACAGCATTACACTGAACCCTCCGTCGATGCAGTCCCTGCCACTTCTAATATCTCCTCGAATACAGTCCTACCGCTCGGCCCTGGCACTCTAACCCACAATTCTGCCGGTGTGCCGATCATTGTTGTCTGCACCAAATCAGACCTGATAGACGAGGGAAATGATCTCGTGGGCGCCAGCAGTTCCGGCATGGGCGGCATGGTAAAAGGTAAAGGTGGTGAGTGGGAGGAACGCACAGATGGCGTGATGCAAGTTCTTCGAACGATTTGTTTAAAATGTAAGTTTTTCTGTAAACCATAGTGAGCACCTCATCACACTGCTTTAGATGGAGCATCATTATTTTATACTACGCAGCAACCTAACACATTACTGGTGCTGAGGCAGTATGCCCTGCACCTCTTATCTATCCCACCGGCACCGTCCCCCATGGCATCCGGATCCGAGGCTCCAGCTCCTCTGCGCAATCCATTTGTCTTTCATTATAAGCCAAACACCCTAGACCGCGATCGCATTGTCGTTCCTGCTGGTTGGGATAGTTGGGGCAAGATTGGCGTCCTTCGAGAAGGGTTTGAGGCGAAGGTTTGGGGCGAAGCTTGGGAAGCAGACCTTGATACCGACGTGATGGAGTCCGAGGATCATGCGGGTGCAAAAAAAATGTACAAGATGCTAGTACCAGATCAAGGCGCGAAGGTGAAATATGTTATTCTGGTAATCTGTCACAATGATCTCATTTTTTCGCGCAGTCACCCCCTTTACCTCCGTTTAATGCCCCCATGGCAGAGCAGGCGTTCCTCGCGAAGCATTATGACGAAAACGCCAAAAAGCCAGACCGAGATCCCCGTGGCGCTTTCCGAAATCCCACGGATACGGCTGCAGCCGGTATTGTTGGACCACTGGGGAGCAGCAGTTTCAATCTTCCAACCGTTGAGCGTGCCCTCAGTGAGATGGAGGCCGGAATGGGAATGGCCAGTTCACTCAATGCCAGCACGACCGCTGATGGAGCACGCAGACTATCACAGAGAGCTGCGACGGGTGCAAACGTGATTACCCACTGTTGGACGACCACCAAGCTCACCGACCATCGGAACTTCGCCTAGTTCTACTGGAGGACAAACTCAACATGAAGTCTTGCAAAACTTCTTCCAAAGTTTGCTCAGCTCACGGGATCGCGGTGGCACCAGCGCAACAGCTAAGAGCATGGGCTCCAAAACAAATGGCAATACTAGTGGCACAGACGATACGAACTGATTGCATTCTTCTGGTGTACTTTAGACTAGTGGATTTTGTATCATACAATTTTTTGGGGGCAGTGGACACATTATTATTGTGTGTTTTCGGAGAATAAACAAATGACCAAACAAAAGCGACCGTCACCTTAAGGCCCACCTCATCAACGGGCAGCCGAAATTTGCCACAGCAAAGTTCGGTCTTAACTAGTTTCGTCTCG